TTAATTGGTTGAAGACAGAGGACAGTGGTTTGTGGAACTTTAACAATGAGAAAAAAAACAGTTCTTATGGCTGGGTAGGGACATAGAGATTCAGTACAGCTGGGTGAAGAGGAGTGCCAACTCATTTGCGGATGGGTTGGCCAAGCAAGGAGTGACTAGGGAGGCTGTTTTCTGGGTTAGTTTTTAATTTTCTTTGCTTTCCCTGAGTTTTCTGTTTCTTGGGGAGCTAAGTTATTTTATCTCCCTCTGTATTCCTTTCCCTCTATTCTCTTAATTTAATGAAATTGATGTTATTGATAAAAAAAAAAAGTCATACGAAGCACTATTTAAGAAGTCTAACATCCAGCAATGACAGTCATACATAAATGTCTGTGTCTAGCCCATCCTTTTCTCTGCTCTATCCCTGAGATGAGTTATTTTCTATTTTTCTGTTGTCTTTAGGAATAAAGTTAATTGTCTTAAAGGGTTATAGTAGTTTGAGTCATATTAGAGCAGTTTTAGAATTTTGAAAAGTTGAAAATGCAATCATGTCACCTTTCTTTCAGATCTTTTTTTTTTTAATCTTTTCTGATTGGAAACTGTAACTTTCATTCAAAAATTCATTAACATATTACATATCACACACTCCAAAAAGTGGAGTGTTGATCCCATATATCCACTATTACTATATAGCCCAAAAAAGTTCACCCTTGGTTATTCCTTGCTTAGCTAATGCATCAGCCAAGCCATTGGCTATTCTTCTGACCCATTTGAATTCTGCTTCAATTTCCCTTGTGAGACTTCGTATTTCTCTCATGGGTTGCCTATGGTTCCAGATTCTGAAATTTCCAGCATTTATCCAATCTTTCAGCCTGTTTTTCAAGGGTTAAAACTTGTTTAGGGGATTGGAGGGGTGTTAAGGGATAAGGATGGGAGTATTATAGCTTTGTTCTGGGGTCTGGTTGGCCTTGGGGACTCCACTAGATCTGAATTTCTTGCTTACTTTATGGTATTCAAAAGGAAAAAGATTTGAATCCGGAGTGGTTGGCTCTATAGAAGGGGACTCTCAAGTGGTGGTTGATTGGCTAAAGGATGAGAAGGTAGCCTGGACTTACATAGATGCTGTTAAGATGATTAAATTAAATGGTCAACAAAGGAAATGGCAATCACAATTCAGTGAGTGCCAAGGACGGGGAATGGGTTGGCTGATTCTTTAGCTAAACAGGGGGTAAATAAGGTGCATTTGTACTGGGTTCAATTTCAATCTCTTTCAAAGGGTAATCCTACCCCATTTTCTGGATAATCTTTGTACTTATCTGTTTATATTTATGAAATGAAATCTTATTATCTATCAATAAAGAAAAGGATTAAAACTTGTTTGTTTTTTGTGATATTGATGTAACAAGTAAGTTATTGAGTTATCTAACAGGCCAAGATCTTGTCTACCCAGCTTCTTTGAGTCAGTCAGGACCATTTCACTGATTGACTGTCAGTTTGTGATGACTGATGAGATTTGGGTCTTCTATTTATTTAGGCCACTTTTGGAATTGTTTTGTTGTTTGGTATATAGTAGGATCAGACGATCAGTAGAGCAGTATTTGATTTTCTCTATGGGTTACTTATAGGTCCACCTTTAGTCACGTAACAGTTGAAGTTTGTTCCGTACCAGTTTCCTGGTTGAATTTGAAGTCTCTGAAGGGAGGTCTACGTCCTTGTATTTAATCTATCAATAGAATATTTGTAATTGAACTGTTAGAGTTGAGTTAATGGAATAAATTTTTGTTTTTCCTGAAGTTACCTGTAAGAGTGTATCTTTTTCTTAATCTCTTTCTTCCCTCTTCACCTCTAAAATTCAATGTTTTTTTTTTCTTTGTTCTCTTTCTCTTTTCTATTTAGATCTGAATCCCTTTCTTTTGTAATCCAGATCTTCAATTCTTTTTCTTTACCAACCATGTAAATCCCCAATTGGACTTTCTCCATTTATCCTACATCATATTCCTCATTTAGCTTTTATATATTATAAATCTTGTGGTTGTTTTCGATTTCATTCATTGGTTATTTTTTATTCTGTATGTTTTACATTAATTTGTTATATATTCATTTCATAGTTTCAGACAAAATTGAGAACTTCCGTTACCTTATTAATATTTTATTGTTTTCCAAATTATCTAATTTATTTTTATCAATTTTGATGGTAAATCCGAAGTTTCAGGAAAATTGAGTGGATGAAACTACATAATATTAGAGAAGATTCTCAGATTTGTCAGCAATAAACATAAGTAGAATAGTTTTTTTTTTTGGAAAATTTACTCAAAATTGAAGTTTTGCTAAATAAAATAGTACTGGTTGAAACTTTGACTCTTTTTCTCATTCTAGGTGGTAGATTTTAACTAAAACAGAATATATATTATATGTGTATTAATTTAGGATTGTTCCACTATTCTTCTATGGTTTTCTTGGCAGATCTAATTAGATTATTAGATGTTGGTGGGTAAATTGAGGTCAAAGAAAAAAAACATATGTTGAATCAGATTGAGCCAGCATGGCCCTGTTTTTGTGTTTGTTTTAGGCAATGTTTTAAAATGCGGAGGCGTTACGCAAGGCGTTCCACTAYCTAGAGGCGTGAGTCGTAGTTCAGAACGCAAGAGGCGTAAGCCTCCCGAACATAAGCCTCCTTGAGAGGAGGGGGTTAGGAGGAGGATGAAGAGGATGGGGGGATCTCTTTTTTTTTTATTTTTAATAAAAATCTTTTATATTAAGAAGAATAAAGATGCATAACATTAGTTCAAAGGGGGGGGTCTTGTCGAAGCGGAGGCGAGCTCGCGAGGCAAACCACTTTCTTTCCCCTTATCTTTCCTTTTCTCTTTTTTTCTTCTCTTTCTTTTTCTTTCCCTTCCCTTTTTTTTCCTTTCCTTTCCTTTCCTTTTTTTTTCTTTTTTCTTTTTTTTTGTCTTTTTATATCAGATGTGCATGAAGCGCATGAGGCGTATGCCTCTAGCACGCCTCATGCATACGCCTCATGAAAAAAGCACAAGAGGTGTACGCCTCAGCGGTGCCAGCGCCTCTGGCATACGCCTTAGGGCGTTTTGGGAGCGCCTCACCTGGAGGTGCGCCTCACCTGGAGGTGCGCCTCACCTGGAGGTGCGCCTCCAGGCGTATGCCTCTAGCATGCCTCATGAAAAAAGCACAAGAGGCGAGGCACCTGAGGCGTACGCCTCAGAGGTGTCAACGCCTCTGGCATACACCTCAGGGCGTTTTGGCAGTGCACGGCTCCAGGCGTACACCTCCCACACCGTTTAAAACACTGGTTTTAGGAAGACTTATTCATGCAATATTATATTGAATTTATTTAACATTATGCTTTATATTTTTTTATTAAGAATGCCAAAATATGATTTTATGGTCTCTTACATGTTTTTTCAATTTTGTTTTTGTTTACATATACCCATTCATGGTAATATGTGGCTCCAGTATATATTTAACAAAAGACATTAAAAAGACATATACCATATGCTGCTACAGCTAGGGGCGTTCACGGTCCAGTTCGGTGCGGTTTGGAGATCTCAAGCCAAACTAGTAAAATATGGTCTGAGAAATTCTCAGACCAAACCAAACTGTTTTATTACAGTTTGGTGCAGTTTCTAATATGGTTTGGGCCATTCTATTGGGCTTTACCCAATTAGAAACCCCAAACATATATGTTTGCATAAATGACAAATGTAGTCATTTAGTCACCGTAAAATCATTGAATCATCGTAATTGGTATGCTATGTAGAGTTTGGATTTCCTCCTCACACCCACCTCCATAGCACGTTGCAGCTGCACATTGGGAACATCTCCCATACTTGTATGTTTTCATTTGTGGGAGATGCTCCCAATGCTTGGCTACAAGTGCTGTGAGGACCATTTTTTGAGGAGGAAATCTGGATTCTGCTATGCAAGCATCAAATTTGGTTAGAACATTATATTTTTAAGGCCTTAAGATCAATTCCATTAATCACGCAAATGACTTAGTTTCAACGTGGACTATTTGAGAGTTTAGAGAGTTTTGGTTGGTTTGGTTTAGTTTCTAAAGTTCAGGAAACTGAACTGAAACTGTAAACCAAAACTTAAAAAGAATCTCAAACTGAACCAAACATTTCAAAGTCCAAGACAAATCAAACCACCAATTTCAGTTTGGTTCTGTTCGGTTTGGCAGTCTGGACCGTATAATGAACACCTACCTAGAGATCTTTCATGGCAGCTTCTATCATCCTAATTGTAGGCTATTTCACTATTGATCCATAAAAACTGTACGCTATTTCACTGGACTCCCAAACAAGCATGCATGCTTTTACAAGCATAAATAATTGATTGCTTCTTGACACATCTTTCGTTTGTTTTCTCAACTAACTCCCCTTCCATGCAGGGGAAGAAGGTGAAGGTGCCAACTTTTCTTGTACCAGCTACCCAAAAGGTTAGTGACTCATCTTTCATGTTATGAAGTTGTTAATGGGGTCAGTTTTATATATCAAAGAAGAAGTTTATATTATAATTAAAAGATGAATCTAATTGATGGACTTTTTGTATCTATCTATTATAAATTTGCCAGGTCTGGATGGATGTATATAGTCTTCCAGTTCCAGGATCTGGTGGGAAGACTTGCTCCCAGATATTTGAAGAAGCTGGTTGTGATACACCTGCAAGTCCTAGCTGTGGTGCTTGCTTAGGTGGTCCCAGAGACACTTATGCACGTATGAATGAACCCCAGGCAAGTTATCATTTTTCTTAAAGATTCAAAGGGACTACTGCTGATTAAATGGATACAAATCGAACCCTCTCCATCCTAAAGGACCTAAACTACTATTGCATATAAAAAATGGAGATGAAGTTAGATTCATGACATCACACAAGGAAATGATGAGCTTTGGTTTCATTGTCTCATGAGTGAAATATCATCTTCATGTGGCTCAACGTCCCATCTTAATAACCTTCAACCAGTGACTGGTTTTTGGGAGAAGCCAAATATTTTTCTTTTCTTTTTTTTTTGTTTGATATATATTGTAGAGTTCTTTATTTTGTTGTGATGCACTTGAGAACCATGGATGGACTTACATGACTCGTTGACATAATATTCGGTTTTTAAACTCTTACATGCGACTGTACATTGCAGGTTTGTGTTTCAACAACAAATAGGAATTTTCCTGGCAGAATGGGGCATAAAGAAGGCCAAATATATCTTGCTTCTCCATATACAGCTGCAGCATCTGCCTTGACTGGCTTTGTTACAGATCCGAGAGAGTTCTTGCAGTAATTGACTTAATGATAATATATGTTATAATCACTGTGCACTACTAAAATTATGTCGGACTTCAAAAAAAATAATTTTTTTTTGGGGGGCTGGGGCGGGGGGGGGGGGAGAGGGGGTTAATATCGAGTTTTCAGTTTAGTTCTACATGTTAGTTTCTTTGTTGAAATTTTACAGGGGTAATATATTTGGTCAATGGAGGAATGTATTAGTCTGAACATATTTGTAGAATGACATTAAATAATATTAGTGTGAGAATAATGAGATAATGTGATGGCTTTTGATTAACGAAGGCCTTGTGTGATTAGGCTGTGTATGGGCTCTTAAAAGCCTTATGAAGCGCAGGAAAGCTCTCCATAGTTTGGCAAGATGCTTAAAAGCCAGAGCCCAAAAGAAGCTTGAGTTCAGAAAAAGACCAAAAGAAGTTGATTTCAATTGAAACTCTTTCCAATTTCTTGTGTTGGCTTGTGGGTTTCCATGATAAATTTAGAAATCTTTCCAACCCAGTTGACTATTATTTATAAGGCAGTCAGGAGACACACCCGTTGGTCATTTTGCACTGTCATGAGACCAAAAACGAGTGTTTGGAGGACAAAATTACGAAACAGGTTTTACAAATTTTATCATATTTATGCCAATACCATTTCCAGTAACATATTTATGTCATGCATGCTACGTGCTCATAGTAATTTAAACATTCCAATGAAGATCCAAGGGTTTTGATGCTTCTACAATCTGATCTTTAGTCTTGACTAGACTAAAAGCGCTTAGGGGGTAGATCGGCCTTAAACCGGCCCTTGTGATATTTTGAACCTGGCGTAAAAGCGCTTGAGATTATGTTGAGTGGATTCAACTAGCTCTAGCCTTTAGTCTTGACTAGACTAATATTATAATATATATTATATATAATTAATAATTTTATACAATTAAATAAGATTATGAATTATTATTGTTTGTTTTCCCCAATAATATTTTCTTTTGGGACTCAGATTTTTAGTTGAGCTTGAATGGATGGGCCAACCTAGCTGAGCAAAACCCGTGATTGACAAATTCTTTCCAAGCTATCTCTGAGCTTGCCACCATGATTTGCACAATTCAGAGCAGAAATATGATTAATTCATGCATGAGAAAAGCCCAAGCCAGGCTGCGCAAAGCCCGGCTAATGTACAGCCTTTCGTGGCTCATCAAAAGTGGCTTTTACTTCTGTAAGCACCCCCAAGATGTGAGCAAGAGATTCATTGTCTAACAAATCAGAAACCGGCTTTATACATTCAAAGATAACCCTAAATTTGTTGCGAGGAAGTTTTGGTTTGGAGAACACTTAAATAATTTGATATTCGGTGTTGAAAGGCTTGGACCAGACTAGACAGTTGAACCGGTGGCTGAATGAATTTTCTGGATTCTGGTTAAATGATGGTTTTCACGATTTGATGGACTAATTGCCCAGTTAACCAGTAAAACCGTGATTCATTGAACATTCTGGTTTTATGTCCGGTCCAAGTGATCAAAACTTTTATTTAGTGGAAAACCCTTTTGTTTAATCAATTTCATTTATTCCTTTAAAGTTCCTTTCATCCTCAACCTGACTCTTGATCCAACTTTAATTTCTTTTTTTCTTTTTCTTTTCTTTGCTGGAACTGCCTTTTGTTCTGACCAAATCTATTAGGTTGTGTTTGGTTTTGAAAGAAAAGGTAAGGAACAGAAGGGAAAGGTAGGAAAAGCTATATAAGGTTTATATATGTTTTGAAAATGATAATTATTCTCTTGTTTTTTGACAGTATTGTATGTTTTTCTTTTTCTTTTTTATTTATTTACCAACATTTCCATGCAGATACAGAGCCAATGCATTTTTCTTCAAATGAAAGAATCTATACTTATCCTTGCAAAATACAGTTCTCATCAAACACCACAGAACAAGGGCTGGCTCGTTGGTGTGTTAGTTGGTTTGTTCCAGTGTTGATGCAGAATCAAATCCCATAATCAGCACATTGGTCTCAGTTTGGAAAGAGTACAAATACGAATATGTACAGTGCAAATACCAAAAAAAAAAAAAAATCAAACACCACAGATATCTTCGATCTGAAAAAAAAAAAAAGTCAAACACCCCAACCCAACTTAATGTTAAAGTGGGCATCTGTTATAAAGTTGCAATTCTTGTCTCTCAATTGATTTTCTCTCTCTCTCTCTCTCTCTCTCTCTCTCTTCTTTTCATTTCTTTTTATCTCTGGGCGCCCAAAAACTATTCCCTTGGCAAATTGGTTAGTTGGGGCTCACTCTTTTGGTAGACAAGAATATTTGCTCCTTTATAAGGATACAACCTGTGTTTCATCTTTTCTTTGTGCCTTTTTCTTTTCATAAGGTCAATTAATATGCTCAAAGACTATCTTTATCCTTGCCAAAAGAAAGAATATGCAGTGAAACTTTCCTTTTTTTAGTGGTTTGATACTCTGGGACAATTCCTTGGAGAGAAGAATTTCCAATGAAAAATGAAAAAGAGGGAAATTACCAAAAGAGAACAATTATATTAAATATTGCCTCAAGGTTTATTGCTTTTAAAGGTTCAGGTTCTTAAAATAATTGTTTTCTTTTCTTTTTTTTTTTTTTTTTTTGGGGGGGGGGGTACAAAACATTACGCAATGCAAATTATCATTTCAATTACTATTGAAAATAGATAACTTTACCCTTCTCACAAATGTGACTGGTTTAGATAGGAAGGGTTCGTTCCATATGTCCAAATTCAGCCATTTTTTTTGGATAATTTTCAAATAAAATCAATTGAACTGAATTTATAGAAGGATAAAGTTGTTAATTTCTACTTTCCTGCAGTCATGAAATGGTGGTTTATATGTCACCATATTCATCCCTCAAAGCTATTATATTAAGATCTTTAATCCTTGTTTTTCAGTTGAACCCCCTACCCCTAAGTTTACTCTAGGTGGAGGGGTGTTCACCTTAATTTTAATAAAATACCATCTTGAGTTCAGCCAAGTTCCACTCCTAATGTCAAATTACGGGGGTGTTCGACAATGTGAATGGTCTTCTTTTCTAAAACAAAAACAACTGCCATGTCAGAAAAATGAATATATTTTTGCTAATTTGGTAGTTTTTTTTTGTTTTAAAAAAATAAAACTATTTACATTGTCAAACACCCACTAAGACTTTTTGACCAACAGTTAAAAATCATATTTGGTAGGTTCTACCCAGAACCGAATGGAACTGACCCCAAACTGGCCTTGAAACCCAATCTGTTATAGGGTAGAGTATAGTTCCAAATTCATGGAACCGACCCCCATCTTGGTAGGTTCCAAGGTTTAGGGGTTTACCCTACCCAAACTGACCTTGATTGGCCTTGGTGGAACTTGCCTTGAAATAAACCCCAAAATATATAGTTTTGGGGATGTGAAGATTTGAACCCAAGCGCTCATGGTTACAAAGGCCATTGTCTCATTTGACCATTGAGTTACGCAAGTTATTTGATCATTTGTTTTAATTTTAATATTTGAATGTGTATGATAAGTAATGTAAAAGGTAATGTTTACAAAATTTAAGTTTAAATTATAATTTTTGAACATATAATGATAATCTACATATTAAGTTACTCAGTTTAATCAATAACAATAATATAAATTTTAAACTATATAATATATTTATTGAAAATCAAGTTTTTAAAGAACATGCTTCCTTTTTTTTTACTAGTATTTGTGTACGTACATGACACATTTTGTGATGTTGATAGTATATAATATAATTCCAGAATTGTTTTGCAATTTTTTTACTATTTCTACACCTATAAAAATTATTCTTATTTATCACATTTATTATGGTTCATTAATATAAAGATATGTCCAAATAAAAATCTTGCAAAGGTAACGAGAATTAATAAAGTTCTTATTATTCTTATTTATTATGGTTCATTAATAAAATCAACAAAATTAAAAAAAATTAATAATTTTGATCAATTACCTTCATCAGAATTTTATTTGAATTCTCGTTACCTTTGAAAGAATTAACTTCTATATGATAAATCCAAATTCAGCTTCTTCAATCGCTAAAAACCTTATAATGAATTGCTATGAAAAATATCACTTGCTCTTGCAGATATCTTGCCATCCAATGATGTGGGATTTAAGGTAATGAAAATGAAAAATTAATCCACCATATGTTGGAACTAAAGAAGAGAAAACCATTTGATACCTTAATGATCAAGAACTGAACCAATGAAAATATGTTTTTAAAAAAACAAGAAATAGTTTAAAGAATAAATTTCTCATCCATTTGCAAGTTGGAAATCTCTTCATGGTGGTTAATGTAGTTCAACATTGGCTATTTAGAGCATAAGATGTACTTTCAGTTTTTTTTTTTATTTAAATAAATGAAAGGATAAATTGCTAAAACCTCCTGTAAAATTTTTGATCATTGCTGAACACCCCCTAAAGTTTGGTAAATGCAATCACCTCCCATGAACTTTTTGACACAGTTACAAGTAGACCCTTTTGTTAGAATCTTCTAATAAAAAGCAAAAAAATGTCCAAAATACCCATGTAGTTACTTTTGACCAAAATATTTATTTTCCAATTTTTTTCTTCGTATCAATCACTACCCCAATTAAGGGTGTCAATGGACCGGTTTTGGACTGGACCCCATTCAGTCCAAAATCAATTTGAATGGATTGGATGGACCAAAAAGACATAGTGGATTGGACTAATCCGGTCCAAAATATTTATTAGATTGGATTGGACCTGGTCCATCCATAATAAATTTATATTGGATTTGGTTAAATTAAGCCATTATCTGGTCCATTGATATAAGATAAGAATATAGGTGTCAATGGACTGGGTTTGGGTTGAAACCAATCTAAATTAAAATGAATTTGAACAAATTGGATGGTCCGAACCTTGAATTGGACCGGTCCAAAATGGTCCAAATTATTTATTGGATTGGATTGGACCTGGTCCATTTGTAATGGACTCACATTGGACTGGATTGGATTGTACCAAATCTAGTACAATTGACATCCCTAACCCCAACCCTTCTAATCTCTTTTTCGGAATTGATGTATTTTCTAAATTTTCCCTTCATATCAATTGCTCAAAG